AACAGAAGATTCTAAACATCTCAACGTGAAAACACCATGAACAGCCAGTTATATTTAAGTTTTAACAATAAGCATTCGCTTTTAACAGAAGTAAATATTCAACTAAAACTAAGATAGAACAGCCGTTCTTTACATTACCTAGTTCGTTCATATCTACAGTCTACACTCAACGGAAACAACAAAAGATATGACCATCAGGGAAGTTCATCAAAAAACAGTGCTTGGTAAAAGCCATACATTTCCGTACATACAAGTCCATGTGCAGGTTGCTCGATGTCAGCTTACACAAAATGAACTCAGAGATTTCACCAGATCGTATACAAACAAAAGTAGACGAGACTCTTCTAACTTGACTTGCACGCTGCATCAGTGTTGCTCATTCGTTTAGATGGAGTCCGCCTCTTCTTGAACGATTGGCTCACAGGTTCAAAAAGAGGGGCCCGGTCAGTAGGTGCAGACAGTCCTGGCATACCAAGCCGTAAATCTGTACCGCCATCTGAACCAATCCATGCTATGCGTTTAACTGCCATAGCCACAAATGCGCTTCAATCAGTGCCGAGTACAAAGTCTGATTCTTTTGTAGAAAACACTGCCTATTACAAACTCAGGTAATAATTAGACTAAGATGATGGGACAACCAGATGAATAACCGGTCAGGAGCAAAAATATAAACATAGATCTTCATATCCAGCAGCCGTCTCAAGTTCACACAATTTAGAAATTTAATGGAATCACACCAATCAACATGAAGTGATCTATGCTTATGAACTTATAACTTCACAGTATAATTTCTCAATCCAAGAGGTGATTGGTTATAATGGACAGAGGGTAGTCCATCAATCAAGTACTAATAGCCTAAGAGGGCTGAATGCTTAATGCACAAAAACCACAGTGATTCATTTATAACGTGTATGTTCAGATAGATTCATTATCCCTAGGACAAGCTTCCAGTTACTCCAGTCGGAACAGTTCATAACTTGAAAGTAATTCTTTCATTGTTCACCTATAGCAGTCTTAGAGGGGGAGAAAGAACCAAATAGCACCTGTTAACTTTATTTCCTCATTTTCCAGCATGAACTACATTCATGCAACTAGCTTTAATCACAAATGCTAGAAGTTTTTAACTTAAGCACGCTTAAAGAACCATGTCTATAGAGAATCAAGAGGTTTAAAAGTCATGGCATACCAGAATCATCTTCATCATGTGCAAGTGCTGGACGATAAGGCCGCTTCCTAACATAGTTTTCCTGCAGAGGTCTTGGGATCTGAAATGAAAACCGGGACATACTTACACCTTCTGCTGCATACTCCGGGTGTTCCTGCAAGTACCTGGGAAGAGAAAGCATTGAGCAAAAACCGCGAGGAATATGAAAAGAAAATACAGATTCAAGATTTTGTAATTTTACTTTTGAATTTCAATCATGGAACGAAGTCTTTTGCCCGATGGCGAAACGTAATACCTGTAAAAATCGTCATCACAAAAGAATTGTTATTTAGGCTGTATTTGTCTTAGCTTAAAAGGGAAGAATCATATACACTTTTTAAGACCTACTAAAGGCAAAAGGAGGAGGGAAGGAATGCAAGACACATACACATCAGCAAACCTGGTGCCTCCTTCACCTCGGATTCTTAAAAGGCGTTCCCACCCAGGAGGGGGCTGAGCAATATTAGGCTTATCAATAGCCCAGAGCCTACTTCCATCTTGAGTAAGATCAGGTGGATCATCACATGATACTCCAGCACGCCATTCACGGGCTGATTCACAGTAGAAAGGCTGTTCCAATATGTGTTCCCTGATCTCTTCATACTTCTCCTTTGTAGGTATAAGCCTCCACTTGAAGCAATTAGCGCACTGCACAGTAAATGCCCCTACAGCTGGCAAAATTCTAGATGTATAATTCGGAAAGGAGTTTCGTCGAGGTTGAGAATCAAGAGGATCAGGCACGAGTTCAATTTCGCCAGCACCAACTGCAGTAGGATCGTAAATCACCAATTGCTTTTGAGCATCTTCACCTTGGTTATCCTCATCATCTGTGCTATCATCTTCTCGCTCTGGTGAAGAAGTAAGATCTATAGGATTCTGATTAGGAGCAGGTTGTGCAGAATCTCTCAAATCTTTTGGCTCGTACTTCATATTATCTCGGTGACTAGCAACTGAAGAACCATGAATATCATTATGATCTGTTTTTCCAAGGGTCGCAAGGTCCAGATGATCTCGCTCCATCAAAACAATTCTAAATTGAATAGAACTGTCCAAACAAAGCAAACATAATTTATTCAACAAGAGGACTCCTGGAACAGTGAACATCATAGGACAGAAAAAGAACACCTTTTTATCCTATTTAACCAAAGGGCTAATGTATGTACTTTCTACAAAGACAGGAACACCTGTTTGGATTGGTAAAATAAATGCTGAAAGGGAGTTCTCCACACCAAGTCATCAAGAGATGACATGAATTGATAATACAGAGCAATTATAAATCAAATTTGAAATGTCAGTCTGGCAGAAATTGAAACAATCTCCATACCCAAATGTGTCCATCTAGTTCAAGGAACAAATTTATAAACATGAAGATCCAGTTAAACATGTGAGGGGTCTCGACAAAAACACTTTCAAAGGAGAAAATATAATTTAACTCTATGGGGCACTCAAAGTACAGGAGTTCTTCTTTATGATGAAATCAATGACTTAAATCACCAAGAAAATGCAAGATAAAACTAACGAAAGACCAATAAAACTAAATATCATTAATAACGGGAAGTTCTACAAGAAGATAAATCGAAGTGACTATAGAAGTCTAAATCTATTAAGTTCCCCAACTGTCCAGATAAGGCTAGGAGAGGCCACAAACGAGATCCGTGGCAAGAAAAATTAGATTTAGGAACTGCTCAACTAAATGACTTTACAGGAGACTTAACAACCATGAAAGGAAGCTGATGTTCTGGGGAATGAAATCATTCATAAAGCAGCAAAAGGTAAATAGTTTGAGCCACAACTTAGGCATAATATTTATACCCCAATGTGCCTGGTAACAGGTAAAGTCCGAAGGCTGTTCCCGTCCCTGTAGGGGGAGCCACAACTTGGGAATATTATATTTTTATCAGATACTTAGGAATACTATTTATATAGAACAAAAAAGAAAATTAGCATGAAATATTTCCAAACAAAACATTTCCTAACATCAAGAGTGCAAATGAATCCAGACAGCGGCCACTTCACATTGAAAAGTTGGTCTAATTACTTGATCATATTGGTGTACAAGAACCAGCGGATGCCAGGAACCACTTGACTCCATGAAAGTTTGTCTTAATCTAAAATATGGCTGAAGCCACTGTTTTAGGAGATTCTTTGTTGGTCATAAATCTTAAGTTCTTAACCTGATAAGCTCGAAATCTAATTTCAACCAATTAATCTGGGTTCTGTTCACTAATCCTGTACCACTTTATTTAGGGTCTGAACAACAGACTTAAATAAACTCTTTTAAAGTCTAGAGTGTAGTCTTCTTGATAAAGTAATGCATTTTTAATAATGGCATCCAGTGGAAACAAAATCAATAATAAGAGTCTACGGTCAAGTTCTTAGGAGATGCCACTCCCACAAGGTGGATAACCTATCACGAATTTTTCCTTACGATAAAGTCAAAAAATAAGTACAGCAAACAGAGCTTCCTAACAAACCTTAGGTGGGATGCATTAGGAAACATAAGCACTTAAGGTGAAGTATATTTCCAAGAGCACCATTAGCACTTGCCTCGAAGTCAATTTTTTTTTTTTGATAAGGTACAATTTACTTACCTCGAAGTCAAAATTGCACATGTTTAATCTATTACTATTATAAAATTGGGAAGAATCTAAGTAAAATTTTGATAGACCAAAATGCCCCTATAGAGTTGATGGACCTTTTACCCTTAAAAATTTCTGACATTAATGTACAAAAGAAGGAAAAGTGTTTTTTAAAACTTATCATCAAATATTTCAAGTTATAGAAAAATATTTAGTATTTGATAATAATGCGAAATTATAAGAATATTTCAACAACTATCTATTAGCATGACACTTAAACTAAACTTCTAATCCATACAACTCATGTAATACATATAAGACTCTTAATCTAGCCCACAATATAAAATTACAACAAATACAGTTCAATCACACTCGGGTCGGCTATATAAATCATGTTAATATATTTTTTATTGTGAGGATTTATAGTTCAAGCAAAAGTTTACAATATGCAGTCCAAAATTTTAAAATTGTTTTAGCGAATTTGTGCAACGCATGAACATAGGGACTAGTAGTCCAATAACCAAGCACCTTGGGATCAAGGAATTATGAAATAACCATAAAGTACTTTTTGCCAACACTTGATTTTATGAAGAAGAAAAGTTTATAAATTCTACCTCTCCTAAGAGGCACAAGTTTTCTTTATTCTTGTGAAGCCTAGGTCAAGTTCAATATAATTGATTCACATGGAAAGTAAACAAAAGACAATCTTTAATATTAGGGGAAAAGGAAGGTGATACAAATGTTTATATTTAACTTTTAGATTGTGGTTAGTGCAAAGTGAGTTTGGAGAAGCGTAAACTTTGACATCAATTTAACTCTACAAGTGGCATACTTAAAAGAGAAAATATAAGACTCATAAAATACTTCACTTCAACAACACAAACGTTACTTAAAAGCGGCCCGAGGTTGTGGATACACAATCTCTATCGGTAAGTGGAAAGGGAGTTGAGATCTACACATTGATTTTATTAGATGAGCGGTCATATTATGATTGTTTGCAAGACGTGATCCCACGTGCTACAAACAGCAAAGAAGTTATGCAATTGGTAAACTCTTTCCTTTTTGGGTAGCTAATCAAAATGAATTTTTGGATATATTTTTGAATCATTTTTCACGCATTCGGTTTTCGGAAAATTTTGGAAGTAGGGAAGTATCATTGATACAACTAACAGACTATTCAAAGTTAAAGCACTCTAACAACAATGTGCTTGTCCTGCTTAAATACTTCATTTGATCCAACAACCAATCACTTGTCCAACAACTCAAGTAAGAAGCAATGACTAACGATGTATTAGTCATTGTTGCTTACCTTTTCTTTCATCGAAAAAAAAAGAAACTATGCAGCAAGACTAGTACCTTGTTATTGTTCAACACATTTTTTTTCCAAAGCTGACACAAATGTTGAAGGGTAAAAGAAAAGACCTCAAAAGAAAACAATCTACATACGTCAGCCTCAACTTTACAGAATCTTCAAAGATTCTATTAATAAACAATGTAGCTAATATCCAAGCATGTCACACAACGTTTATCGTTCTGAAGGTCTAGCATCCACTACTGAAAATAACAAAAATGACAAATGGACTTCCATTATATTCAAGCAATTCTTCATCATTATAAAAACCACACTGTTTTTAGTAATAGTTGGAGTTTCTTCCAAAGATGGCACATTTAGAAAATTTGCCTCAGTGGGACATAGAAGAAATGAAGTACCTATCCTTAGTATAGCAGGATGTTTTAAACTACTAAATGTATTTGAGGAAAGATTATTTGATCGAAAATCAATACTTACGGACTTGGAAAAAATATAGACACAAGCCAGAGCAAGTCACAAAGTGAGGTTTTTTCTATCATCATCTCTTTCAATTGATGCGGAGCATCTCTACATTACTTTATTCTTCCATAACCCAATGGCTGCAGATAAGGGTTTAACGTCCATATCCCATTAAACACGCGACAAATGTAAGTGGACAAGTTACGTTCCCCAAGTAAAAGCGTCTTTTCTAGTTTGAAGAAATATCAATAGTAGCTACACTAGCTCGATTACATTACGGGTCTTAGGTTCAACAACCACACAATACAAGGTTTCAATGTGCTAGCTTAGATATTTAAGGTTCCCATTTCTGTTCTTTTTCTATACTGTTTGCTTAACAATACTAATACAAAGCTCCTACTTTGTCAATACAATAAAAAAAGTGATTGTTATAGACGTAAAGTCGTATAAGACACATAAATAAGTTGCACCCAGGCGAGGAAATAGGTCAACCATATTAAACTGGTCTAAACTTGTGCGAAGCTAGGGTCATATGAATCTAGCTACTTGAAAATATGTCCCTCCTACAACAAACCTAGGAGAGAAGATAAAATCAATAATTCTGGATATAACTAGGTCACATTTAGTGCATCAACTAATCAAGGTGAGAAATTCTTGTGGTTGTATAATACCAATAGTTCTATATTCACTTGATCCATTTTGGTGCATGGAACTGAAGTAGGTAAAAATTTTGTTGGTTCAACAGCTAGTTCAGATGGCTACCAATGGAATAATGGGTTTCACCATAGATTAAGAGCAGAATAACTACATACCACTGTATCTGCCAATCTGATTTTATCAGTACTAGTGAATGCCATCACAGTGTTGCACGCGCAATAACCAAGCACCTTAAATAAAAGCACAAGAACAACAACTATATCTCAGTCCAAAACTGGTTCTGGTCGGTTATATAAATCCACAAGATAAAAATAAAAATAAAAACAATCCAAGTGACTGCAAAATCAAGATCCCATTAATAACCACCTACTTCTTTTGAACCCTAAATTGAAAAGAAAACCTAATTTTACACGCGCGATTTGCATACGTGTATTCAAAGTACAACTATTTTTCCAAATAAAAAGAAAACGGCTGAATCACAAGGAAAGTGGAAAGAAAAAGAGATAAGGCAAAACCAATTCGATAAATACCATAAAACAAGAGAAGCAAACTAAAGCATTGGTAAAAAAAGTGCAGGTAATAGAATCTAAAACTAATCGAATTTTAGAACTTAAGATTTATCAGCAACTTCCAAATAATCAGCATCTTCTTTTCGGAAACTACATACATTACAACAAAATGTCACAAAATCACGACAGATAACCAAAAAAAAAAGAAGTGCCCCAAATCAGTAAATTCAATTCTTTTTTATTCTTTTTTTTTATGACAGTAGTATACGGGAGCCCATGTTGATTATTCCACCAGATATCTACTCCCTCCTACCAGCACAAATACTGGGTAACTCTGCTCACCAAGGCTTAGGCGGGTGCGAAGAAATTTTTTTGCCTCTCCTGAGTAAACTCAATTATTTTTCCAAAACCCCATTTCTTTCAATAAAAATTTTACTAGAGGAAAAGCGCACAAGTGCACAGATGACACAGATTGAAATCCATAAGCACAAAATGAATATATCCCAAAACATGCATATGCATAAATCATAAAGCAGAGGATAACAGGAATTATACCCAAGTGAGAAACAAAATAAAAGAGGGGATCTAAGCCAGCATCATCCAAGAATCAACTGTTGGCTAAATTAGAAGAAAGTATAGGTAGATGAATATATGTATGTATATGCACGCATCTACATACAGATTACAGACTGCAATTCTTTGCTTCTCCTAGGAAGTGAGAGATAGAAGAGAAGAACTAAGGCAGAGACTGAATTTAATATTGGATGTGTCGCTCGGCTGTCATTAGTGTAATAAAATTTTATTGCTAAACTAACAGCTTGTTTGGATGGTTGTATCCGGTCTAATATTATTGTATTGTTATCCCAAAATAATGTTTGTTTTGATTGTTTCATTAAAATTGGTTGTATTGTATTGTTAAATTTATTGTTTCGGAACAATAAAAAGTCCCATTTTTTAAAATAATCGATTTGGTGTGGTGGGATTGTTTCCTATTTTTTTTTCTAATTATGCCCTAACTTATTACTCTACAATTCTATTTTAACCTTTACTTTTTTTCTATTTTAACTCCAAATCTCAAACCTATAACTTACTTTGTTATTTTCCAAAACTTCTGCCACCAACGTTAAGGTGTTTTGCCGCCTTCTGTTTTATTTTTCTCCTAATTTGCTTTTAACTCAATTCTAATTAGCTGTGTTTTGCCTTTTTCTGTCTTACTCCTTTGCTCTGCTTTCTTAAGGTGTTTTGCCTCCTTCTGTTTTGTTTTTTAAAATTATTTTTATGCATAGTTTTTGATAAATTTAATATTTAAATAATTGAGGATATTTTAGTAAACTTATCAGTTACAGTACAGTACGATACAGTCAAATCAAACAACAAAATATTATATAACAATAACAAATAATACAATCTATCCAAACATTGTATTCATAAAACGATACAATACATTATAAAACGACGGAGAACAATGATCCAAACAGAGTGTAAGGGTCTGTTTTGGCAGGCAACACCTTGGTTGTTCGCCAGAATGTAATTACCATGCAAATCTGGTTGGACAAATATAATTACATCATTAATTAAACTTTTTTCAAATAACATATAGATAAGTTTTATTGCATAATAAACGTATAGGTAAATAATGAATATCAAATATTGATTTATTCTAAGGTATTTAAATAAATATTTTTTACAAAAATATCTTAAATAATTATATAATGTCATAAATAATTGTCATCTTCCAAATAAATAATATTGTTACTTAAATTAATTAATAAAAATCTTAATAACGAATTTAATATTTTTACCAATTCATGTGAATATAAGAAAATTAACTATGAGTTTAGAAAGTATACTCTATAATAAATATTTATACTAGTAATCAGAAAATAAAACGAGTAAAATACAAAGTAAGCAAACTTTATGTCACGACCCAATTTTTCCCTATGTGAGTTGTCGTGATGGCACCTAGTCTCTACGACTAGGTAAGCCTAACACTTTGCGGAAATGAAATAAAAGCATGAACACTGACAACTGACAGTAACAGATATCTAATAAGCAACTGAATGCCACTCGACATATACAAATATCACCTCTGAAATGTACCAAACAATTCCCAAAACCCGAAATACCCCAAGTCACAAGCTACTAAGAAGTCTTAACTGTTCTATACATCATCTCTACAGAAAGAAAGAAAAATGAACATAGGGGGATAGAGGGGGACTCCGAGGATCTACGGGCGCGGGCAGATGTACCTTGAAGTCTCCAATAAGCAGCAGCGACGGCAACTAGTGATGAGGCTGGTAAGATGAACTTGGATCTGCACACGAAAAACATGTGCAGGGAAGGGCATGAGTACACCACAATGGTACCAAGTAAGTGCCAAGCCTTACCTCGGTCGAGTAGTGACGAGATCAGGTCAGGGCCCTACTGGTATAAATATAATGAAATAAGACAGAATGAAATATCGCAGTAAAAATAGATACGAAAAATCTAACAGGGATAGAATCAATGAAAGAAAACAACTTATAACACAGTGATAACAACAAGGGATCTCCCGAGATACCGTCTCGTAGTCCCAAACGTAAATGTGCAAGGGGATCTCCCGGAATATCGTTCCGTAGTCCCAAAGTAAATATGCAGAACAGGGGGATCTCCCGGAATACTGTTCCGTTGTCCCAAACTAAATATGCAGTACAGGGTGATCTCCCAGAATACCATTCCATAGTCCCAAAGTAAATATGCAGTACAGGGAGATCTCCCGGAATATCGTTCCGTAGTCCCAAAGTAAATATGTAGCTCAACCAACAGGAATAACAGTTACAGCAAGAGAACCTACAGTTTAGGCAAAGTGCAAGTCAAGGGATGCAGGAAATTTCACTAAGCACAAAGTTCAAATAGGCAGTTAAAACATGTAGGCATGCTATTCTAATCTAAACAGGATAGTTACATATGCTGATGTAGTTCGAAAACAGGTTATGACTTAGTGAAAAACGGAGTTTTACAACAAATAGCCTGTGTACATACTCATCACCTTACGTACATGGCGCTCACATATCAAACAATACCAAATCCTAAGGGAGCCCCCCCCCTCCCCCCCCCCAAGGTTAGGCAAGCCACTTACCTCGAAACAAGCTCAAATCAATCTGTCACAATGCTCTTTCCACGAATATCCGGCTCCGAATGGCCCAAATCTAGCCAAAATAAATTACACAATATTAATATAGCTACAAGAAACTAATCTAGCTAACAAAATCAAATCTAAGGCGAGAAATTGGAAAATCGCCCAAAAACCTCCCCGGGCCCGCGTCTCGGAATCGGGTAAAAGTTACCAAATATGAACACCCATCCACTCACGAGTCTAATCATACCAAACATACTCAAATCCGATACCAAAATCTCGATCAAAATCCCAAAATTCGGCCTAAGAACTTTTTCCAAGTTTTCCCAATTTCCAACTCAAATCCCTAATTAAGAGATGAAATCAACAATGGATTAATGGAAAACAACCAAAAACGAGTTAGGAATCATTACCCAATAACTTCCTCTGAAAATCCTTCAAAGTATCGCCAAAATCCGAGCTCTCAAGTTCAAAAATGAAGAATGAATTCAAACCCTCAATTTTGCCCTTTTTCTGCTAGTCAAACCGCACCTGCGGTCATATTTCCGCTTCTGCGGTCCCGCTTTTGCGGCTAAGACTCTGCACCTGCGGAGATTCATTAAACTCTTAGGCTTCGCACCAGCGGACGCGCTTCTGCGCTCACTTGTCCGCTTTTGCGGAACTCAGCTTCCTTCTCCATTCCGCTTCTGCGATCGCCCTTCCGCAGATGCGGCTCCGCTTCTGCGGCTTGTGCATCGCACCTGCGACCACTGGCTCTCATGACCAAAAGCGCACTTGCGCCCTTAACTCCGCATGTGCGAGCCCGCACCTGCGGTCTCCCCACCGCAGGTGCGAAAATACCAGATGCCTAAAACTTCAGCAATGGCCTAAGTCCAATTTTCAACCCGTTGAGCATCCGAAACACACCCAGGCCCCCGGGACCTCAACCAAACATAACAACCAATCCTAAAACACCATATGAACTTAGTCTAGCCCTCAAATCACAACAAACAACGCTAAAAACACAAATCACCCTCCAATCCAACCTTAATGAACTTGAAACTTCAAATTTCCACAATCGATGCCGAAACCTATCAAACCATGTCCGATTGACCCTAAATTTTGCACACAAGCCATAATCAACATTACGGACCTACTCCAATTTTCGAAATCGGATTTTGACCCCCATATCAAAAATTCCACTACTGGTCCAAAACTCAAAAATTTGACTTTTGCCATTTCAAGCCTAAATGAGCTACGGACCTCCAAAACACAATCCGACATGCCCCTAAGTCCAAAATCACCTAACGGAGCTAACAGAATCGACAAAACTCCATTCCGGAGTCCTCTTCACACAATTCCGACTACGGTCCAAATTCTAAGACTTAATCCTCCGTTTAGGGACTAAGTGTCCCAAAACACTCCCAAAAACCAAAACGAAACCTCCAGGCAAGTCACAATAGCAGAAATAGATATGGGGGAAGCAGTTAATAGGGGATCAGGGCTCTAACTTTCAAAACGACCGGCCGGGTCGTTACATCCTCCCCCTCTTAAAACAATCGTTCGTCCTCGAACGAGCATAGAGACATACCTGAAGTGGTAAAAAGATGAGGGTAACGCCTGCGCATATCCTGCTCGGTCTCTCAAGTCGCCTCCTCGACCGGCTGACCCCGCCATTGAACCTTTACTGATGCAATGTTCTTTGACCTTAGCTTTCGAATCTACTTGTCCAAAATAGCCACTAGCTCCTCAACATAGGATAGATCCTTGTCCAACTGGACTGAGCTGAAATCCAACGCATGAGACGGATCGTTATGATACCTCCGGAGCATCGAAACATGAAATACCAGATGAACTCCTGCTAGGCTGGGAGGTAAGTCAAGCTCATAAGCAACCTCCCCAACTCGCCGCAATACCTCAAAAGGACCAATAAACCTTGGGCTCAGCTTGACCCTCTTTCCGAACCTCATAATGCCCTTCATAGGCGAAACCCGGAGCAAGACCCGCTTTCCAACCATGAATGCAACATAGCGAACCTTCAGGTCTGCATAACTCTTTTGTCTGGACTGGGCTGTGCAAAGTCTATCCTGAATCACCTTAGCCTTCTCCAAAGCATCCTGAACCAAGTCTGTGCCCAATAATCTGGCCTCGCCCGGCTCAAACCAAACCACTGGGGACCGACACCGCCTACCCTACAAAGCCTCATACGGTGCCATCTGAATGTTGGACTGATAACTGTTATTGTAGGCAAACTCCGTAAGTGGAAAGAACTGATCCCAAGAACCTCCAAACTCCATCACACACACACGAAGCATATCCTCAAGAATATGAATAGTGCGCTCGGACTGCCCGTCCGTCTGAGGGTGAAATGTCGTGCTCGACTCCAACCGAGTACCCAACTCATGCTGTACGACTCTCCAAAACCGTGATGTACACTGCGTGCCGCGGTCAGAGATGATAGATACCGGCACACCATGAAGTCTGAATATCTCACGGATATAAACTCGAGCCAGCTGCTCGGAAAAATAGTTAGTCATCACAGGAAGGAAATAAGCTGACTTGGTCAGCCTATCCACAACCACCCAAACTGCATCAAACTTCCGCTGAGTCCGTGGGAGTCTAACAACAAAATCTATAGTGATCCGCTCCCATTTCCACTCCGGAATCTCTAACTTTTGAAGCAATC